GTGGTAGTATCTACAGAAACACTTCCCATTACTTCAGATGAGAGTACCACCTCATACATGACTACAATTCCTTTCTACAGTTCAGACAGTGTAAACATCAAAAAAACCACATCTTCCCCAGAAAAAAACACAACAGCAACAAAAATACCATATAAGGCTACAGGAACCCCAGAAGCCTCAGAAAAGACTGATGATAACAGAATTACAGTTGCCTCAGACAAGCTCCTGATAACAAGTGCAAAACATATACACAAGAACACATCAGTGAGTGAGATGATCATACCATCACCAGCAAAGCCTACAGAACATGGAAAAATGAGTGCATCAACCAGTGAGAAAATCTCATCTTCCCCAGCAAATCCTACAGAACATGGAGACACCAGCACATTTGTCCGTGAGAAAATTACAACTTCCCCAGCAAAGACTACAGAACATAGAGAAACAAAAACATCGGCTGGTGAAAAAATCACACCATATCAAGCAACGTTGACAGAGCATAGAGAAATGAGCACAGAAGATGAAGAAATTAACACTTCAAACAATGAGAAGACATCGTATCCAAAGAAGCCTACAGAACATGGAGAAATGAGCACATCTGCCAATAAGAAGACCACACTGTCCCCAGTAAAATCTACAGAACATGGAGAAACCAGCACATCAGCCAGTGAGAAAATCACACCCTCCCCAGAAAAGTCTGCTGAACAGGAAGAAACCAGTACATCTGCCAGTAAAAAAATCACACCATCCCCAGCAAAGGCAACAGAACACGGAGAATCCAGCACATCAATCAGTGAGAAGAACCCACCATCTGTAGCAAAGACTACTGAACAGGAAGAAATCAGCACATCTGCCAGTGAGAAAATCACACCATCATCAGCAAAGTCTACAGAACAGGAAGAAACCAGCACATCAACCAGTGAGAAAATCACACCATCCTTAGCAAAGTCTACAGAACATGGAGAAACCAGCATATCTGTCAGTGAGAAAACCACACCATCCTCAGCAAAGTCTACAGACCAGGAAGAAACCAATACAACTGCCAGTGAGAAAATCACATCATCTCCAGCAAAGTCTACAGAACAGGAAGAAAGCAGCACATCAGCCAGTGAGAAAATCACACCATCCCCAGAAAAGTCTTCAGAACATGGAGAAGCTAGCACATCAGCCAATGAGAAAATCACACCATCCCCAGCAAAGTCTACAGAAAACGAAGAAACCAGCATATCTGCCGGTGAGAATATCACACCATCCCCAGCAAAGTCTACAGAAAATGAAGAAACCAGTACATCTGCTGGTGAGAATGTCACACCATCCCTAGCAAAGGCAATAGAAAATGGAGAAACCACCACATTTGCTGGTGAGAAAATCACACCATCCCCAGAAAAGTCTACAGATAATGGCAAAACCAGCACATCAACCAATGAGAACACACAATCCCCAGCAAAGTCTTCAGAACAGGAAGAAACCAGTACATCAGTCAATAGAAAATTCACACCATACTCAGCAAAGTCTACAGAAAATAAAGAAATCAGCACATCTGCCAGTGAAAAAGTCACACCATCCTCAGCAAATTCTACAAAACAGGAAGAAGTCAGCACATCTGCCAGTGAGAAAATCACACCATCCCCAGCAAAGTCTTCAGAACAGGAAGAAACAAGCACATCAGCCAGTAGGAAATTCACACCATACTCAACAAAGTCTACAGAAAATGAAGAAACAAGCACATCTACCGGTGAGAAAACTACACCATCCCCAGCAAAATCTACAGAACAGGAAGAAACCAGCACATCTGCCAGTGAGAAAATCACACCATCCACAGCAAAGCCAACAGAACGTGAAGAAATAAGTACACCATTCAGTGAGAAAATCACAGCATCCCCAGCAAAATCTATAGAACATGGAGAAACTAGCATATCTGCCAGTGAGAAACTCATACCATCTTCAGAAAAGCCTACAGAACATGAAGAAACCAGCACATCAGCCAGTAGGAAATTTACACCATACTCAGAAAAGTCTACAGAACATGGAGAAACCAGCATATCTGCCAGTGAAAAAATCACACAATCATCAGCAAAGTCTACAGAACATGGAGAAACTAGCACATCTGCCAGTGAGAAGAACACACCATCCCTGGCAATGTCTACAGAGCATGAAGAAACCAGCACATCTGCCAGTGAGAAGAACACACCATCCCTGGCAATGTCTACAGAGCATGAAGAAAGCAGCACATCAGCCAGTGAGAAGAACACACCATCCCCAGCAAAGTCTACAGAACATGGAGAAACCAGCACATCTGCCAGTGAGAAAATCACACCATCATCAGCAAAGTCTACAGAAAATGAAGAAACCAGCACATCTTCCAGTGAGAAAATTGCATCATCTCCAGCAAAGTCTGCAGAACATGAAGAAACCAGCACATCAGCCAGTAGGAAATTCACACCATACTCAGCAAAGCCTACAGGAAACGAAGAAATCAGCACATCTGCCAGTGAGAAAATCACACCATCCCCAGCAAAGCCAACAGACTATGAAGAAATGAACACATCAGTCAGTGAGAAAATCACACAATCTCCAAAAAAGCCTACAGAACATGGAGAAACCAGCACATCTGCCAGTGAGAAAATCACACCACCTCCAGCAAAACCTACAGAACATGGAGAAACAACTATATCTACCAATGAGAATACACCATTCACAGCAAAGTCAACACAACATGGAGAAATGAGTAGTTCTACCAATGAGAAGACCACACCACCCCCAACAAAGCCTACCACACATGTAGAAATGAGCACATTAACTGGTGAGAAAATCACACCTTCTTCAGCAAAATCTACAGAACATGAAGAAACCAGCACATCTGCCAATGAGAAAAGCACACCATTTCCAGCAAAGTCTTCAGAACACCCAGAAAAGGCCTCACTGGCCACTGAGACCATTAAAGTCCCAGGAAAGTCTACAGAAAACCCCCCCAAAACAGCAGCAGTCACAAAGACTCTAAGACATCCAGTCAAGGTTACAGAAGACAAGTCTATCGCGACTACCTCTCCTCATTTAACTAAAACTGAGGTTACGCATCAGGTACCCATTGATTCTTTTACACTCACTGCATCTAGAATGGAGCTGAGTTCTACGATGTCAGAAGTCCCAGGCAACAAAAGCCATGCACATGAGAATAAAGATGGCTCACAGGGAGGTCTCCATGCTGGACAGATGGAAGAGAATTATTCATTCCCTGCATGGGCCATAGTTATTGTGGTCCTGGTGGCTGTGATTCTCCTTCTGGTGTTTCTTGGTCTGATCTTCTTGGTAAGGGACCGGGGTGCCCCAGGGAAATGAACCCATGGGATAGAAAGTGTTAGACTCGTAACCCATGAGTTAGAGGGAATAATGAGTCTAGGAAAAGAGACCTAGTGGGAAGAAGGGGAAAATAGTAATAGAAGGGTAGAGGTGGTGAAAACTACGGGGAAAGACAATAAATACACAGGATGTAAAAAGCTGGGATTGGGGAGAAATCTGTGGCTGAGAAATAAGAGGGTATGAAATAGAAAATTTGGGGGGTAGATATAGAGTCTGGGGTGTGAGAATAGTGGGTATAAGAAAAAAGAGAATAGGATAGAGGTGAGAATTGGGGAAGGAGTTTGGGACTCAGTGTATTGGATCTGGAGTTGGAACAAGGATCAAGGTTTGGATTGAATCTTGAGAAGGGAAAAAACCAAAAGTCCAGGAGGATCAGGGAGAGTGGAATCAAGGGCCTGAGGTGTGAGTGCTGAGGAATACAACTGGCACGGCAGATGGTTCTCATCCCTCGTTTCTCATCCCAATCTCAGATCTCCTATATGATGCGAACACGCCATACACTGACCCAGAACACCCAGGACAATGACCCAGAAGATGAGGAGGGCCCCAATTCCTACCCTGTCTACCTGATGGAGCAGCAGACCCTCGGCATTGGACAGATTCCTTCCCCATGATGATCCTGGAGCAGGCACTGAGCCCTGGATCTTCCATGTTCTGCCCCTTTCCTGGAAGAGGAACTGGACTCACAACTTCTACTTCCTGGACCCCAGGAAGGGCAGAGAATACCAGCAGTTAACAGCATCAACCATTCCTTTGTTCTTAGTTGAAAATGGTTGGGGAATGAGGTGATAACCAAGGAGGATATAAGTTTAGGGGATAGAGAAGAAAGAATGCATAATACAAGCAAATGTTCTCTGTAGAAAGTGATGGCCTGAGAATGGAAAGATGTTTGATGGATACATGAGGTGTGGACCAATACAGGACACTGAGTCCTGAGGGGACCTGTCTAAGGGAAGGACAGAAGCCTTAGAAGGCAATGCCCCGGACTGACTTGTCTGCATGGGAAGTGAGGAGACTGAGGACAGAGTCTCTGGGTTTTAGGATCGATCTACATTATTTCCATTCACTATTATTGAAGAGTTTGTGTGTAAACAGGCTCATCTCTGAGTTTGCAGGACCCTCGCCCTTCTTTTATTTAAGTGAAAAAATGGGATCTATGAAAAAAAGAGAATTTATTTTCTTCTCCACACTGTCCACTCCCTGGAGAAAAGGAAATTCCAGAAAATACCACAAATATCTTTTATCCAGGTGATTTCTCCCACTTCCTTCCAAATCCCTTAGTTTTTCTGAATGTCTACAGTGGGCGCCTGCTGCCTTGGCTTGCTGGGTTGTGGGAGGGGCTTTTGTTTGGCCTACTGTTTCACCCGCTGATTCCTATCCCAGACCTTCCCTGATGGAGTTCTCACTTAGTATTTATTTTTCTGTCTCTTCCATCAAAAGCCAATCCTGGTCTTATAGGAGTCACCTGTCTTCTCTACTGCTCCAGTCCTCTCTCCTTACACTTTTACCCCAGACTCTGATTTTCCTCCTTGTAGGCATTTCATCTGTGTGTGTTTTGTGAATTTTCTCTCCCCCTTCTTCCAGTTATTTCACCTACTACTGATTGGGCAGAGGGGGAAAAGGAGAGTGGACAAATAGTTTCCTTCTCTCTACTGGTATTTTTTAAAAAGTGTAACATGCTTATAAAGTAGGGGCATCATAGTTATTGGACTATTCTTTGGGAGAAAGCCCTGACTGGTGTGACCTTACAGATGACCCTGAGCAGGAGGGGCCTGAGCACAGGACTGGAATTCTTTGGAGGGTTGAGGAAGGGGAGGCTGAACTTTTGTTACTAAAATGACTTCTTTCTGGGTTTAGATAAGAGCCAGACTCAGTTCATGCTGGGTTTATTTGCATTGTGACAAAATGAGGAGAACCTGTCAATTAATAAGCAGGTATTTTAAATACCCATCATATACTCTGTTGAGAATACAAAGAAGCATAAGACAACTCTTACCTGAGACACAAATACAGGGAAATTAAAATTAAATAATTCAACAAGAGTTTTCATAAGGTAGTACTATACAAAATAAAACAACACCCTAATTAACTAAATTCAACTTTATAAGCTATCATGCCCCATATTTATGTTAGGACACCAGTCCTGCTTCAAAACCTTCTGAGCCTGTGTCACTCCCAACAAAACCCTCTCATCACTTGAGGAGATCACTTGAGTCCAGGAATTTAAGACTGTGGTGAGCTATGATGGAACCACTGCACCCCAGCCTGGGTGACAGTAAGACCCTGTCTCTAAAAACAAAACCAACCCCAAAACAAAATAAAAACACCTCTGCCCCCAGAGTCCTAGACAACCAACCCAAATGATTTCGCCGTTGCCAAGGCACCAAAATGGAGCACTAAGTGTCAAAGAATTTGGGGGACATGAGGAGGTTTATCCAGGTAGCCTTGGTGTTCTCACTCTTGCCAGAGGAGTATGGCATTGTCGCTGTTAGGAAAGTTACTCCAGTTGCCACTGGCCTTGTAATCTTAACTTCCTCCAGAATCAAATAGCAGGGCCACAGGTCACTATATGCTACTTTGGGTATCTCCATTTGCTGAAAGCTGGAAGCCTTTCATAGTCAGTAATCCTAACCCTAACACTGATGTCACTGAACTATCTGGTCCTGGCTGGGCTAGGAAGTCCCTCAGGCCTGAGAGCCTCTCTGAATCTCCCACCAGGGACCCACTCTGCCAAGGACAGAACTGAAGCTTAGGTCTCAGAAAGGAGACATGCTGGCTGCCAGAGGGACCCCAGATTTAGGTCCTTGGAAAGAGTCTGAGGCAGATGGCACTTGGGTTCTGGAAGAGGGCTGGGGAGCCTTCAAGAAAAGGAAGATGCTTGGTTTTTAATTGTCTGGGCAGATGGTGACTCAGCATGTGGTAGCTGCCAGGTCAGGAGTGTCTCTCTGCCCTGGGAGGGATGCAGAGACCCCCAGTCCCCACCTCTAGTCATTGAATTTCCTCAGCCTGGATCCTAATTAAACACATACACACATACACACACATGTGCACACCACAGTGGCTCATGCAGTAATCCTAGCACTTTTGAAGGCTGAGGTGGGAAGATCACATGAGGCCAAGAACTCAAGACCAATCTGGGCAACATAGTGAGACCCTGTCTTATTTTTTAAAAAAATTAGCTGGGCACAGTGGCTCATGTCTGTAGTCCCAGCTACTCAGGAAGCTGGGGTAGGAGGATCACTTGAGCCCAGGAATTTGAGGCTGCAGTGATGCACTCCAGCCTGGGTGACAGTAAGACCCTGTCTCTAAAAAGCAAAACCAACCCGAAAACAAAGTAAAAACACCTCTATCCCTAGAGTCCTAGATATCCAACCTCCCCTGTCAAGGCACCAAAATGGAGCACTAGGGGTCAAAGGATTTGGGGGTCATGAGGAGGTCTTCATCTTGCAAATGTGGACAGTGGACTCTGGGGCCCTGCAATAAATTGTCCCTCTTCCCACTTCTCTCCCTCTCTCTCTTCCCTGCTAATTATCACTTAGAAATCTAGGGGAAAATCCTCTAACAAGCTCTGGCGTTGGGCCTTCATTAGGGATTATTGCCTAATGAGGAGGATGTGAGGGAATCCGCTCTCTTCTCACATGCATATTGTTCTTCATTCCTGGGGAAGTCACCTCTCCAAGTGTCCAAGACCCGAGGACGGGCCGGGCTCAGGGGTGGGGGTACCAGAGGCTGCTGCCCTGATGAAGAGGAGACTTGAGTCTACGGTCCTCCCTCCCCCTCTGGAAGCTCCCATCTCTTGCTGACTGAGTGGGTTAGTGGCTCCTGGCTGCAGGCACCTGTGTGTCAGCCCCCACCCACTGTGGCTCAATTCCCTCCTCCTAGCCCACCGCTCCCCCCTCAGTGTGGGGTGGGGATCTCTGCCAGAGTACCAGACTGCCAGACCTGGGCTTCTCTCCCAGTTCCACATCATCTATCATAAACTAACATACATTTGTGCTGAGCTTTCATGTACGTCGCATCCATCAATCCTCTCATCACTTTGTGAGTTCTTTCTTACTGAGAAAACTGAGGCTCAGAGAAGTGATTGTTCAAACCCGCAGGGCTCCTATGGAACAGAGTTGTTTATTTTCTCCAAGCCTCAATTTCACTTTGTTCCCTAGTGAGCCAGGTTCCATGTCACCCATGGAGTTAGACCTGATGGGTGAGATGTTATTGGGACCACCTAAAGAACAGAGGTTTGTATGAGAGAATGTCAACCCCTTCTTCCAGAGTTGGACTCCCCTTTCAGTCCTTTGAACTCCCAGTGTTTTTTCTGGCCTCACTGTTGGTATCCTAGGCCAGGGTCTTCCCTGCCAGCGTCTGCCGCCTGCTGAAACACATTAACTGGCCTCATAGTCACAGGCTCTCCATCCTCCCTCACAGTGTGCCCAGACCCCCATCACAGCTGCCCCTGGAGCAGTGCTGGCACTGTAAAAAGACCCAGTAGTTGGAAACCCAGTCACCTTCATTCTCCCTTCTGCCTCCTATGAAGGCTTCCGTCCCACAAATGAGACATCCTCAGAAAAAACAGGTTTCTGCTGACCTCTGGCCCCAAGGGTGGGTCTCCTCTCCTCTGACAGGTTTGATCCCCTTGTTCTCTCCCCCTCCCTGCTCCTCTCCCTATATTGTCAGGGAGCATGGCTTCAAGATGCCCCTCCCTGGAGAGGGAGGGCCCAGAACTTACGGCCTCCCCTGACTGGTGGTAACTATAAATGCCACAGCTATGGTTGAATGAGGAAAGAAATTAAGCAAGACATATTGTGGGAACCCAAGAATGGAATCCAAGAGTCCAGTGTTCCCAGTCCCCTGCTCCCTACTGCCTTGGGACCTATCCCAACTAAGTTACCCTGGTTCTGGCAAACTTTTAATTCTTCCTGCAACCAGGCATCAACACTCCCTTTGCAGCCCATCTCTGCTCTAGAACCCAGGCATTCTAGACAACAATTTCTCATGTGGATTATTTCAAGATGAGGAGAAAGAAATTATCTCCTGCCTCCTGCATCCAGGTGCTGCTTCTCTTTGGAATCCTGAGACCTGGTAAGTGAATCATCTTCAATCAGAGAGGACACAGAGGCCACAAAAAGTCTGAAGCAGACAAGTGTCCCTGCCCCAGGCACTTTGCTTGCATATTCTTTCTTTTGCAAAAGCAAAAAGCAAGCAAAGATGAGGAACTCCTTTTTTTGCAACTTTCTGTGAAAGTCATTACCAACCCTAGCCCTTCATGGCCTTGATTCTAACTCTCACCTTGCAGCAAATTCGCCTTTATCCTCTACCTCCAATGCTCAGCTATAACCACGAACACAAATAGCAGCTGTGATTTATTTCCCTTAAAATCTCAGGGTGTAATGGCTGCTTGACAAATGCTTTTGTACAGTATCTAACTTGGAAATCTAAGTTTCAATATCATCCTTCATTCCATATTAGAGCTGGACTTAGAAGAGACTTAGAAGTCTAAAGCCAAGTCAAATGAAAATATCCCTTCCAGAAATACTACCTAAATAAAAGTCCTCAATCAGCTCTCATTTCCCTCCCAGTAGAGACATGGAGGGATCACCAAGACCCCAGAGCTATGGGA